CACATGCTGAGGTTGTAGACTTTAGTGATCCATCAGTTGAGAGTTCTAAGACGTGACCCAAGCCATGAACCCGTCCCTTTTTGGGGGGACCCGCAACCTCTAACCACACATTTGGGTCAATCTCAGGATAAGATGATTCTTCACCATACTTTTGTGACATTGCATTATCAAGGTTGTCCTGCATATATTACAACCAAAATATTTACCAACTCTACAAATATACTTTATGTATAACTTATATGATTATACTACAGGAGCAAATAACACAAGATGATGTAGTGTCAATCTAATGCAAAGGAAAGAATGTAAAAAAATCAGTCCAGAGATCATAATAGTACAGGAACACCAAAAGCATCTAACAATATAATTATTATATTACAACTCTATATTCAGTGATAAGGCCACACATTCATTACTCACTATGAAACCCAAACAGAAATTATTGATAAGTAATAGACAGAAAGTCTTCTACGGCTAACAACACATGACCAAATTCAAAACAAACAAAAGACGTATATCACCCACTTGAGAATAATATTCAATTCATTAAAAAAGAGAAGATAACTATATGTTTCTTGAGATCTTCAATCCATATTACAAAGCACACAAGAAAAATAATAACGAAGTCAAGAATCCTGAAACTGAAATCTTCAACAATCATAATGAAATTCTGCTTCTATAATTTATATTTTATATATAATATATATTTTAATTTATTGTATCAGTAATATTTTTCTATATTACATTAATGTTATAGTGTTGTTAATTTTACGTGTATTTGTTAATTTAAATAATAAATTATTGAAATAAATAAAATTAAATATTTTGTAATTATTTTATTTTTTAATTTAATAGTTATTATTGTTGTCATTTTATATATATATATATATATATATATATAATTTAAATTTAAATTTATTTAATTTTTAAAATACAATAATTTTTTTTCAATTTATTTTTTGTGATCAATTTTATGTGTTTACTATGACATTATTTATTAAATATAAGATGTTTTTAAACAAATAAAATATGATCCTAAAAAAAACTAAAATCTTTAATATTTTATTAATTTTAAAAAAATAAGAAAAATAAAAATTTATTTAATATGAAATATTTATAATTAATGCTTAAATAATATTTTAAAAATTATTTATAAGATTATATAAAATTATTATAATTATCAATAACACAGATGAAAAGTAGAAAAATAGGTAAACTAATTTGATAATAAAATATTTATATTTTTATTAATATTAAAATATATATTTTTGTAGCATGCCTTGTTAATAGGTTTCAGGCTAGGCTAGGCCACCTGGCAGGTCAGACTAAAAATAAAGTCTTTAACAGGTAACAGGTTAGACTCAAGCCTAATAATTACGTTACAGGCCTGGCCTGTTTAGAGTAAAGTTTGACCTGTCTTGGCCTGTTTGTATCCCTAACTGCGATGATCGTACCGTGATACATGAGCAGGTGTTGCATCTACTTCACAAGCTGAGGGACAAGTGAAAAAGTATTAGAAGGCTGAAGTCAAGTAATTTAGCATTAAAGTTCTTTTCTTTATATTTTGAGACATTATATAGTATAATTTTTGTATATTTTGAGTATTATAAACTAAATATAATATTATATTATTCTGTTATGGACAAACACCAAGCTTCACATCTTGAGAAATCATATTGAAGATTGGATTAAAGATATTTATTTGCTCATCTCCTTTTTCTTTTTCTTTCTCTTCTCATGTATTAATCGCTTTTTAAACTTCTGTAGTTAGGAATTTATGGATCTGAAATAAAAGTATTGATTTGATTTTGGATATGAAATTTGAGTATTTGATTGGATTGAGTAATTAATTCTGTTAATAAGTAATTTTGGATGAAAATTCAATTAACTAATCAAAGAGAAGCTTTTATCAATGGAAGTTGGATTTGTTCCTTAGATCTGAATTAATTACTAAGATTAGTGATTTTTTAGGGAAAAGTCATCTTAATCTTGCAATCTTATGATTTCTAATTCCTAATGCAATACTTAATTGAATTACACCTAAGGGATTAGGGTGATTGAGTTGAATATTAGGGTCATTGAGTTAAGGAATTAACCTTTGACTAATAACTTGTGAAATTAATTGTCAACCAAATCAAATACTTGAATATTTAGAACATGATTGAGTTAATACTGAAATTTTGGTGAAGTAATTTTCTAACTCTAATTCATTCATATATCTTATCCCAATACAATTTTTGTAGTTTTGTTTTACTTTAAATTTACATCTTTCTATACTTGTTAATTCTGATTTTTACATAATACAAACTCTCCAATCAATTGTATGGCTCAACTAAATGTTGATTTGTGAAGTGATAATTGAGAAAACAAATCCATGAAGACGATACTTGGAACTCAACTTCGATTCCAAAAATTTTATAGCTTGCTATAACTATACTAGTACACTTGCTAGTGAGATTACTTTAGTGCACACATAGTGAAAGTAACAGCCACCATAAAAGGATTGTTGATTGTTGGGAAGGTCAAAGCATGGTGAAATGGCAACCCTCCTAGACAGACAATTAAAATTTAATATTGATGGTTTTGTTTCCTAGTCCTTGGGCCTTCCTAGCTGCGGTGGACTGATTCATGATAGTGCTGGAAAATTTATAGTTGGCTTCTACAAATCTTTAGACCCTTGCTAACCTATTTCTGCTGAAATTTAGGGTATTTATTGCATAAGACATAAGGTAACATTGTTACATAAAAATCTCAACAATTTAAAACATATAAAGGTATAAACGCTACACAATAACACTACTAATTATTGCATTAATATGATAAAAATGTTTTAATTTATGTAGATAAATAATTTTATTTTTTATGATAAAGAATAGAAAAATATTTGAGAAGGTATATTTTAATTAATGATGAAATAAAATTATAAGAAGCATACTTAAATTAGTGATATATATATGATTAATCAGAAATGAATATGATTGAATCTTAATAATTTATATTACTTAATAATTTAAATAGAAATATAATTTAGATGATAAATTTTAATTAAATAACAGCAATCATGTAATTGATTAATTTTAGAAATTAGATTTAACTTTTTTAATATATTGTTGGTGTATAAAATCTAAGGTAACATTGGTATATAGAAGTTTTAATAACTTATAACATATAAAGTTGTTATACATTAGTATTATAAATTATTGTTTTAATAAAACAATTTCAATTTATATCAATTAATTGATTAGTAAATTAGTAAATTAGTAATTAGAGAGAAAATATGTCTTAATTAATTATTAAGATAATTATCTACTTAATTAAAGATAAAATATAATAAATTACTATTAATTTTTAAAAAATAATGATAGAAAAGTTATAGATTATAAATTGATATAATTTTATTATTATTTATTTATTTACATAAAAAAATAATTTACTATTCATAAAATAAAACAGAATAAATCAAATATAAAATCAAATCACATCACTATTTTATAAATATATAATAAATAAAATAAAAGATAACAATTTTGAAGATAAAATAACTAACATAATAATTAGGACATAAATAAAAAAATAACATTAACAATAACAAAGATAATTTATTGTTGACGATAGAATTAAATAAATTTTTTTCATTACATAGTGTAATTTAAACTACTTGCTACCAAAAAGAAAAAGGAATAAAATTTTCAAATAAAAAAAAAGACAAAATCTAAAATTAAAAAATTTTAGATTTGATGAGTTAAATTTTTAAGATATGAATAAGTTAAAAAAAAACGCACACATAGAGAAATGTCTATGAAAAGAATAAAGACAAGTTTGATAGAAATTATGGTTAGATAACAGGTTAAAGAGAATAAATTTTTATAGTTAAAAGTAATAGTCTGAAGGTTAAAAAATTTCGTTGTTAAAAATGTAGATTGAATGAGAGAAAAAAAATAAAGAAAATAAATTGTTTTTAATTAAAGATAAGTAAACGAGATGAATTTCTATATTAAGTTAAAAAAATAAGAAAATAGTCAAAAATAAAAAAAATTAATATGAATTTTAAAGGCCAAAAATAATTTTAAAAGAACTTTTAAGAATTTTATTAAATAAAATATATTTAAATATATATAAAAAAAATTATAGAATGTATGAGAGATTTGGTTAAAATTCTTAAACTTTTTTTTTTAATTTACTTTTTATTTTTACTTTTTTCTTCTGTCTCAAAATTTTGTAGGCTTCTTTTAATACCTCTCCTTTTGTAATTTTTTATTCCCTTCTTTTTGTTAATATGATTTTACTTTTAAAATTTTCACGGAAAGCCAAAAAAAGTTTCTTTTTTTATGTATAAATTAAACATTATAAGTTTAATTATTTGTAATATTTTTTTAATTTTGAAATCCAATTTAAATTTTTTCATTTTATTAAAACAAACTTTTAATTTTCTTAAAAAATCTTGTTCTTATTCTTTGTTTATAAAAACAAAGTCAAAATTTTTAAAAAACAAAACTTAAAAATTTTTAAACAAAACTACCTTTAACACAAAAGCACACAAGCCACCAGGTTATTTACTATAAGTAAAGTAAAATTTACAACAATAAACAAACCAAGGGACAAGAAAGCCAGTACAAAGAACATTTGGCAAAAGTAATTCCCAATTCTTAATCCGTGTTTCCATTTCACCCCGGATGGTATTATACCATGGACACCCCCATCAACTCCAGGGGGAGAATGAAAACACCAGAAGCTCCTAGGCATACTACTCCGCAACATTAAAACAAAGAAAAGGAGAAAGATAAAAGTCGAGATACTACTATACATGGTTACGGGGTCAAACAGCACCCTAGGATCTAGCCCCATGTTGCATAGAGAGAAACGAGGATAAAGGCTCTTAAGAGTTACACTGGAATGACATGCTGTACTGTTTAGCAACTAGCACGGGTCTTGGAGGAGATATTATCAAACCTAGGCTAAGAAGAGCTCCAACATAGGAATGGGAACGAGGTGGTCTGGTTTCATTGGTTTTGGTAAGAAGCACAGGTTCCTATGCTTCTCCTTCTTGGAAGACCCCATACATGATTTCCCACATAGGTTCTCTCAATTCGGCGATTCAAGCCATCCCGCCCTTCTGAGAATGCAACAGGCAAAAATTCTCGGCTCTCGCACCGGAAAACTTTTCGCTGGAAAACCCTCATCAGAGTATCTTTGCCCTGCCACCATCACCATTAATAAATATGAGACACAATATAAATTATTAAACATATTCTAGTTAGACACGTTCTCTTTTTTATAAAATATTATCTTATTCATTCAATAATTTCATCCCACATCACGTTTATCCTCTTATTCGAACTCTTTTTCTTCCTTTGTATTTCTCATTGCAAAATTTCTTTGATACAAAATAAATGTAAAAATAAAACTGTTACTTCTGATTCAAAGAAAATCTGAATGACTCCTCGTCTGAGAAATTTTTTTTAGCATGGCGGTACTCTTTCAAAAAGATTTAGCAAAATATTTAAAACTTCTTTTCTCTTCTTGAAACCTTTAATTAGTACTTTTCCAGTTATTTTATAAAATAATAACTAATTCATCAAAATAAAAAATGTATATATGTCATAAATTCATAGTGTATTTCAATAATATCTATAGTAATAAATTATCAAATAGATAATTCATATATTACATAAATGATAATATTCAAATTTTATAATGAGAAAATAAAAAAAATATAAATAATGCATCTACGAATAAATATTTATTTTTATATTTTGGGAAAAAAATATAGTGACAACTACTTCCTATAAATAAGACTGATAAAATTGTTGGTTAAAAATTAATAAATGAGATTTTTCATTAAAAATTGCCATGATGTTTTTAATCAGAACCTGAAGTACTTGAAGGCATTTTCTTATTTCAACAAAGTTTTACTAATAATAATAATAATAATAATAAAAATCCAACATTGCTCTTTATTATTTAAAGGGAAATTTTAACTAGTTCCGTACAGACACTTATTAACGAATAAAAATAAAAATATTTAATTAAAAACATAAATTGCACTCACTCCAATGTTTTAAATGTATTTTAATAATATTTTAACAAAAACTTACTATTTATTATTTTTTAACCATGGCCTATCGGCATTATTTAGCAAAACCCTTGTTTAAAATAGGATCAAATTAAATTACAGCTAATATAAGTCAATAAATAAAGTGAACATTTGGATGTAGACTTCAGAAAATAACTTATAATTTTCTTAAATTTCCCTATGACACAAGGACTACTCTAGCGTAACACACAATAACAAATATATAATATTTTTTAATAAAAATAAAAATAAAAAAATACAACAGAATACAAGTCATTGTTAAAATTGAAGATTATATTTTTAATTAAAAATATTTATTATTTTTTAATTATATATCTTTGGACACATTAAAAAAACACTAACACAACCCTCATAGGAAAAAAAATTATCGAATAAATACCTTAATTGAACTTTATTTCCAAAAACACATTCAAAAGAAATAGAAAAATACAATATAAAGACACTCAGTTATTTGCTGAAAAACAATGCTAATAACCTACTCTATTGAATAAACTCTGTAACTGGTCAATTTTATGAAAAATCAAATAAAGTAAATCACCTAATAAAAATTACTTTAACACTTAAAAAATTACCAATCACAAAAGATGAATGGAAGAATATACTTAAAAAAGTGTATTACTTTGGTTGCTCTCTACTTACAAATCTTTAGGAGCGAAAATTTAACTATACAATCATTTATTACTTTTGATATGATTTTTAAATTAAATATGAAGTTTAGGTTTAGTACTTCGCCAATGAAGGTTAACATTACAAAACTAATCTTGATTGAACAGGAACATCATAAACACTTATTTAAGTAGTATAATTTATTAACAATTAATATGAATAAAAATCCTTAAATTGAAAATTAAATCTGCATATTTTTTCATGATTTATAAGAAATTATTAAAAAATGTGTTTGAAAGACCACATGCATTAGAAAATATCGCTAACAAATCTCAAATTAACATAGTAAAGTTTATGTAACCCCCGACCGAAAAAACCGAGTCGGCAGATAATAAGAAAAATAAATAACAGAAAACAAAAATGCATTCGATGAAATGAGATCAAAACCTGATACTGAGCCACGTTAATTTCACACGTTTTCCTGTTCTCCGTGACATTCCACTCGAGACCTTGGAACTTCTCGTAGAATTTGAATGCAGCAGAAGGAGTGGTGAAGTTGACGAAGGCGTATCCCAAATTCGACATCCTTTTCTCTATCGCATGTTTCCTAAGAAACATTAAAACAAACAAAGCATTAACCACATGATCCAAAACCAAGAGTTGGCTCCGAATCCCTACCTATAATCCATGGGCAAATAAACGAAGTCAAACTTGCACCAATCAGCGGGATCATTTGCGTTCTTATTTTGTTGCAAGCAGTACTCGTCCAATATGAGTAGCAACTCCTCCAACCTAACAAATTTCATCATGCAAACCGTGCTCAGAACTCCACTTTTAACATTTTCGAGGGGAATTACAATGGAAACGAAGATAGGAAAGAGAATTGTACAATTTTTTCACTAAATAAAAATTTTGGAGAAGATGAGAAAAATTTAATGATTCAAAAATTTAGCGAGAAAAAACATCAAGATGTCAAAGGCCTACATTTTCTAATAATAGATTTATTAATAGGCAAAACTTAAGCACATATTTTAAATCAACATCAAGGTTTCATTTCAACAATTTAACATCGACCATGAATAGGAAATTATATTTCATGAAAAATACTAATAAGTGGAAAAAATTAAAAATAAACAAAATATGTTAAAAAAACGTCAAAACACAGCTACTTTCTTGTACTTCAATGCATTCCATTGTTACTTTAAGATAAAATTTATTATTAATTGACTATATGGCTATTGCGAAGAGCCTTCTCGAATCGATGAATAGGATAAAATTCCTATTACTTGGTAGACATTAATGGACAGCATCTACACCTGAAAACCTATCCATAATCATTATCGATAGAGTTTGTCAGAGAAATTAAAGAAACAAATTTAATGAAAAAGGGAGAAAGAGGGATTACTTGAATTGGTTAGGGACGTTACGAATCATAACGGTGGTGGTGGAAGAGGTATGAGCTTCCTCAACTGTTTCAGGAAACGGAATAATGTTTCGACGAAAAGCCCTGTCACCACTGGTACCCTTTTCTAGAAGCTTCCTTCCCTTTGCTCCCTTAACCCTCCATTCAGTCTTTGCCTTAGAACTAGAAAACGTGTGGTGACACCGCCAGTTTCCCTTTGCCCACACTCTCTTGGGAACACGAACCGGTTTCACGACCTCATGAGTTGTGTCCGAGGTTGCGTCGTCGGCCGCGTGAATCGGTGGGCAGAACAACCCGGAGGTACAAGGATGCGCATAATAGTAGTTAGGACAAGGAAGAAACAATAGAGGGTTTGGTCTGAAATAGAAGGGTTCAGCGTTTGGGTTGAGCTGGGAAAGCATGACGATGAGGATGGTGTTTGGGGGGTAAAGTGGGAACAACGAAGAGGGAAGCATGGGTTTGAATATATATATATATATATATATATATATATATATATATATATGAGGGAAAGTAAGAGAGAGAAGTGTGTGTGTGGGGAGAAGAGAAGGAGTAGGTGTGTGCGTGTTCGTGTCTATTCTTTTCGGGGATATGGCTGTGGGATTTGGAAATATCTGAGTAATGATGAAAAGTGGAATGACGCATTGGGGTTTTATAGCGTCGCATTGAATGCTGCTTCTCTTACAAGACAAAAACTAACGCTTCTTCTTCTGCCACTCCCTGCTCTCTGGCGGCGGATGCTGACGCTCCCTATACTTTCCATGCTCGCTCTTTTCCTTACATACACGTTCCACACTTTCTTTCATGTATTGATTCCAAAATATTTAAGATATCAATCACTATTTTCAAATATTAACTACAGATTCAAAATTATTTAACTCTTTAGTTTATATTTAAGTGAAAATTATGTCCAAATCAGTTCAAATATTTTGTTTAATTTTAGTCTAATTTCAACAAATTATTTAAATTAAATGAATCTAATTATAGTCGGATTAGTTTAGTGTAAGTTATTAGGTCTATTATTTTTTAAAATAATAAACCTAATAATTTCTTATTTTTTAAAATAATATGCTTATCTTTTTTTGTAAACTTACAATTTTTAATATTTATTTATAATATTAAATATAAATATTATATATTTAAACATTTAGCAATACATTATAATTATCTAAATATAAATATTTTTATTAAATTGATATAAAATATTTATGTAATCATGTATTATATAGTTGATCATTTTATTTAAATATTTAATTGTGTTGAAGTGTGACATTATATAGTCTTATTTATTTTTTATAATATTCAAGTAAACTTTTCAAAAATGCATATCACATATTTACTTCACTAAGAATAATTATATATTTTATGGTTTAAATTTATTAAAAGACCTACAAATATCATTTTTATTATATAGAAAGATAAATTTCATTTAAATTATTTATATTCTCTAGATAATTTACACCGTGTTTATAAGTAATATTTGATATAGTAAAAATATGAAATTTCTCGTTAAGATATTTTGATGACTTTAGGTTAAAACAAGTTACATACAATATTATTTGAGAATTATGTATAATATTTATATAATAATTCATGTAATATATTTGTTTTGACACTTGACATTTTATATTTATGATTTATAAGATTCAATCACGTTAACTCGAATATTAGTTTTAATATTTTATATTATTATTATTAAATTGTATATTTAGTGTCTATAGTTAATATTTATCTATGAATTATTTATATTATTAAGAAAGTTATATTTTAGTTTTTATATGAGTATTTTGTTATGTTTTAATTTTTATTATTTACATTTTGTTTTTTATGGTTAATAATATTAATAATTTTATAATTCTTTTATACTTAAAATTTGTTTGTTCTCAAACAAAGTCTTAACTAAAAATAAGTAAATAAATTGAAATATATCATCATATTAAAGAACTTAAAATAAATAAGATAAAAAAAAAACAAGAAGAGCAATATCATTTAGCATATATAATAAAAAAGTTTTTCAATTATAATCTTATATTTTTTAACTTTTTTTCAAACATTAAGTTATGTTATTTTTTTCTCTCTCTCTTTTATTAAATGTCTGAGCATAAAAGATATCATATGATTTCTTAAAATTGTATTATTTATAGGCAGATTTGACATTAAAATGATTATTTATTAAATAAATTGAATACAGGTAAAAATTATGATTTTTTTTTCAGGTTGTAATGTAGCTAATAAATGAAGTAAGATTAATGAAGGGAAGAGATATATAAAAAACCAATAAGTAATCAATATTAAAAATATCGCTTAAGTTTATAAATAAAATATTTTTTATATGTAACATTTATCAAATTCTTTACTCCTTATTCCTTTCATCTATTTATAAACATTTTTTTTAATTTAATACATTAGAAAATAAATCAGATAATTTTATATATCATAAAAATTAGTCATTTTAATTACTAATATAACATTCAACTACGAATTATAGTTTTTATTTTACAATATATTTTTATTTTATTTAATCGGTTCCTGTATTTTTTATTTGTATAAGATTCCTCATTCTTAACTTTTATTTTAAATGTAATATTATATTTAAATATATTATTAATTAAGTTAAATTTACAAAATTTATTTATATATCTTAATTCATTATTCTCGATGAATTAATCAAAACAAATATTATCTTCAATTAAATAACATAGTCTATTTCTGGAAAAATACTTATTATATTTATGTACTAAATGAACCATCATAATGAACAGAAAATAATTTGATATAAAATTATAAAATTTTACAAATCAATTAAATAAACATAAATATTTAATAAATTTTACTATAATTAATCAATTAAATATTTTATAATAACTATTAATTAAATATGTAATTTGGCACATTTTAAAGATGGATCACAAATTATAATTTGTTTTGTCATATATTTATTAAAATTTTAAGACGTCTTTTATTATGTTTTATTATATTTTATAAATGCATTTGAATAATTATTTGGAAATTTTTTATCAATTATTATGCTATAAATATTCTTAAATTATTAATTAAAATATATTAAAAATATAAATATAAACAAACACCTAGTTTATTAAAAAAAACAAAGAGTACTCTTTAGAGATAAAATATTTTATTCTTGTAGAATCAAATCCAACACATTCATATGATTTTTAACTGGATTTATAAAGAAAAAATTTTAGTATTTAAAAATTTCTTTTATATGTTTGATGTCCTACTTAATAATGCAAAAGATATTTATATTAAGATTGATAACATAATAATATATTAAAAGCATTAATTGAAACTTTTAAAGGTAAGTCAAACATTATATTAAATTGCTATATAAATATAGTTAAAAAATCATTTTATATAGATTATAAATTTGTTTTAATTGATATGTAGATTATTTTATTTTATTAATCATTTATGTTGTACTAATGATAATATTAAATATTTGTATTTATTTTAAACATACATTTGATAAAAAATAAAATAAAACTCACTTAATAAAGAAATATTGAATTATTTCTTTAATATCTTAAAACTCATTTATATCAATTGATATATTTCATCTCATTATAAATATTTAATTTTTTATTATTAAAACCAACAAGATATGATGCAATTCAATGCATTAATAACATTTAATGTTATAATTATTAGTTTAAATTATTATTTTTAAATTTTTTTAGAATGTATTTTTTATCGCACATTAAAAAAATTAGTTTAATAACATTAATAATTTAACTGTGCAGGCCTTTCATTCTGGTAGATACCCATAACAAAGACAAGAGTGGTAATTTCAAGTAAATGTTTTACAAACAAGAATTACATTCCCTACCTATACATGAACTGCAATGGATCATCACCTATATATGCTTGCTTGTGCCAACATAAAAATAAAAATAAAAATAAAAATAAAAATCCTGCAACCATGGAAAACAAAGAAACATTTTATTGAAATGTGTATTTATAGATTGTAAGATTCAAATGCCTAACTAAATCAGTTCTGAAATAACAGTGTGAAGTGTGAACATACATGATTTATAGAGTATGTTTAATTTCTGTTTTTAAAAGTAAAATACAATACAAAATTATATTATATTTTACTTTTAAAAACAGAAAATATTATTACAGATATAAAAAATATTATTTTTATAATTATAAACAGACTTAATTTTATTCTTTGCTCTTTTAATTTAAGCTAGGTGTAACTTTATTTTAAAAAAATTGAGCTAATTAAGTTATTTTATTTTTAAAATTATGCTTATGTAGTCTTCAATTAATCTAGTTCTATCTAAAACTATAAAATTATAAATGTTTTATTTAAAATATTTATAAATTAAATTGATTAAATTTTTACCTATTCAAAATTAACTAACGAAATATCACAATTTTTAAAAATTTGGAATTGTTTCCTTTTCTAACTTTATTTTCACATCTTATAAATTTTTCATAATTTTATAAATTGTTTAATTTTTATTTTTTAATTACTTTGTATTTCATTTCTATTACAATTCTTTAAGGAAAAACTAAAGAAACGATGGTCTTAAATTAAAAATTAAATTTATAACATTTAAAAAATAGAATTGAATTAGCTAAGAAAAACTAAAAGACTGAAGTGAGACATAATCTAAATAAAAGAAACTGAAATATAATTAAAATTTTTAATATATTTTAACTTAATTTAAACATATTATTTATTAATTAATATTTATAAGACCACCAATTAATCAACACCCTCACCTTACCTCTGTCAAGGCACCGAAGAAAAGTCCAAAAGAAGCATTTAATGCTCATCCGTGGCAGCCCACAGAAGAAGATAATTCCCAAAGCGTACTCGTCCTCATCAGTACTTTCCGTGGCCTGTTGACACGAGGTAAAATTTCTTCCTGTTTAGTTGATTCATGGAAAGAAGAGAACTTTTCTTAAGCTCTTTTTCTTTTATGGTTTTTATTTTAAAATTATAAATGAGTTTTTTTTTAATTATAGAAATATAAACAAATTTAAAATTCGTGAATGACCACTTTTAGTATTTTATTAAAATATTTTATTATTATTTTAAAAATTATCATCAATGAATTTTAATTTTCTAAAATTTTTAAATATATTTTTCAAAAATTATCATTAGCAATTTTTAATATTTTTTAACTTTTTATCTTTAAATTTTTTTACTTACACTAACCATCCTCAATAACTACTAATTTCATATTTGTATAATTTTTTAAAAATATTATATTTTTATATATATTGTTTTTAAACATTATTTATATAAACTAACTTTTTAGGCTCCACCGCAATAAACTATTCATCGAAGAGTAAGGAAAATGAACAGTGACGGAGGAGGGGAGGGGACGAGGAATCCGGCAGGAATTTTTTTAATTTAACATAATAT